ACTGGGTGAATGGGAGTACTGTTTACTGAGATGGCAAACACAGGTGAAGGAGCAGATTTGAGAGGGAGGCATCAAGATTTTAGGTTTGGACATGTTAAGTTTGAGATGATTATGAGACATCCCAGTGGAAATGTCATGTCAGTTCAATTTAGTTCAGTTCCTCAGTCAAGTCCAACTCTTTGCGATGCCATGGACTGCCACACGCCAGGCTTTCCTGTCCATCACCAACTCCTGGAGCCTACTCAAACTCATGTCCATTGAGTTAGTGATGCCATCCAACCATCTCATCCTCTGTCATCCCCTTCTCCTCCTGCCATCAATCTTTCCCAGCATCAGGGTCTTTTCAAATGAGTCAGTTCTTTGCATCAGGTGGCCAAAGTGTTGGGAGTTTCAGCTTCAGCATCAGTCCNGCATTTCACATGATGTACTCTGCATATAAGTTAAATAAGCAAAGAGATAATATATGTAGGGAGTTTAATTTTGAGTCTAGAATTCAAGAGAGATTGTAAGGATGGGGATATACATTTGAGAGGGATCAGAGTATAATTCTGGAGAAGGCAATGGCAATCCACTCCAGTATTCTTGCCTGGGAAATCCCATGGACGGAGGAGCCTGGTAGGGTGCAGTTCTTGGGGTTGCTAAGAGTCGGACACGACTGAGCGACTTCACTTTCACTTTTCACTTTCCTGCATTGGAGAAGGAAATGGCAACCTACTCCATGTTCTTGCCTGGAGAATCCCAGGGACAGGGGAGCCTGGTGGGCTGCCGTCCATGGAGTCGCACAGAATCGGACATGACTGAAGCGACTTAGCAGCAGCAGCAGAATATAATTCTACTTTGGGTTATAGAATTGCCTCAAAAATTTGTTTCTCAGTAGCCTGTCACTAGTGCCAAAAGTTACATCATTAGAAATTCATTTTTGCTCTTTGGATTAACCTGTGGAAAAGGTAGCATGTTAAATATTTATGAAAACACACTGTAACTTGAATTAGTTTAGTACATCTTTTTCAAGAAAGCTGTAATCTGCTTACCTTGAGGAGATTCCCATATTGATTGATGAAAGTTATACAGGGAGAATTATACAGAGATATTCCATAAGTGTCCAGATAATAAAGTGGTGGATTTTTCATGGGTGTATTTTTATGAAATGGCAGTCTTGGGTGGCCTTAAATTATATTTAATGGGTGGTAGAGCCTTTGTGTGTATAATGCATTCTTTATAGCTATTTGTGTTTTTAACTAACATTCAGTACGTAAATTTTACTCTTTTAATCATTTCAGTTGTAGAGTACAGAAAGCTACAAATTAAGACATCTAATTTTCCTTAAACTTTTAAGTCATATTCATAAATCTTTCATTCTGTATATAAGCTTATTAATTCAGAGTAAAATAATGACAATCTGTAGAGTTTGGCTGTTAACCATTCCTTCTAGAAGTTATAGAAAATACGGTAGTAATGAAGACAAGAAAAAGTTGCTGTTTTACACAGAAAAGTAGATATTCCAGATTGTAGAGTAAAATTGTAAAATCTCTAAAATCCAATTTCTTGTACTAAATAACAGTATTTATCTTACATAAGTTAAATCAAAAAGTTTAGTCATTTGCATTCAGTTCAGTTCAGTTCAGTCACTCAGTCGTGTCTGACTCTTTGCGACCCCATGAACCGCAGCACACCAGGCCTCCCTGTCCATCACCAACTCCCGGAATTTACTCAAACTCCTGTCTATCGAGTCGGTGATGCCATCCAGCCGTCTCATCCTCTGTCACCCCCTTCTCCTCCTGCCCCCAATCCCTCCCAGCATCAGGGTCTTTTCCAATGAGTCAACTCTTCGCATGAGGTAACCAGAGTACTGGAGTTTTAGCTTCAGCATCAGTCCTTCCAATAGTTTCCTACAGTTGCTGTAACAGATTACTACAAACATGATGTCTTAACGGGGGCTTCCCTGATAGCTCAGTTGGTAAAGAACTCACCTGTGATGCAGGAGACCCTGGTTTGATTCCTGGGTCGGGAAGATCCCGTGGAGAAGGGAGCGGCTACCTATTCCAGTGTTTTTGGGCTTCCCTTGTGGCTGGTAAAGAATCCGCCTGTGATGTGGGAGACCTGGGATTGATCCCTGCGTTGGTAAGATCCCCTGGAGAAGGGAGAGGCTACCCACTCCAGCATTCTGGCCATGGACAGTCCATGGAGTCGCAAAGAGCCAGACACGACTGAGTGACTTTCACTTTGGTGTCTTAACATATACTTATTAATCTCTTAACATTCTGGAGGTGAGAGGTCTGAAATCAGTTTCACTGAGCCAAAATCAAGGTGCTGGCAGGACCACACTCCTTCTGGAGGCTCCTAAGAAAGAATCTGCATCTTTAGCTTTTCTAGCAATAGAGTTGCAATGCCTGCTTTCCTTGGCTTTTTCCCCTTCTTCCATCTCCAAAGCATGGAGCACAGCATCTTGCTTCAGTGATCCTGCTGATTTCTGCTTCTGTAGTCAAATCTCTCTTAGAAAGACATGTGTGATTACATGAAGAGTCCACTTGGTTCATCCAAGATAACTCCCCAGCTCAAGATCCTTAATTATATCTACAGAGTCCCTTTTGCCAGATAAGGTAAGAGTCATAGGTTCTAGTGATTAGAACCTGCTTTATCTTTGAGGCTCATTATTTAGCCTACCACAAGCTTGCTCTGAACTATTTTGTTTTAGTGTGGACTTCATATATGTATTACTGATTTAAATATCTTAAGAAATTTACATGCCATTATTCTCTATCAACCTCTGCCAGGCAGAACTATGTATTATTTGACTGTTTCCAACACTGTGCCTTTAGGCGGTAGACTTGTTTTTATTTTTTCTTTAGAAAGAGTTTCAAATTTATAATAAAATTGAAAGAACAAGGATTGTACAAAGAATATACAAATGCCCTTTACCCAGATTAACCTATTATTAACATTTTATACTTTTTAGTTTATTATTCCTGACTGAAATCTGCATTTTTCTTTTAAAGAAAACAGCATTTAGCATTCAGACCAGTAGGTATAACACTTATCTATAATGCCCATATGATCTCATTTCTTTTCAGTTAAATTAGGAGGTTGGCAAACTTTTCTGTAACAGACCATATAGGAAGTATTTTTGGCTTTGTGAATTGTATGGTCTCTCTTAAAACTGCTCAACTCTGCCGAGTATGGCAAAAGCAGCCTTCAGTAATACTTAACTGAGTGAGCTTATTGTGTTCTTACAAAACTTTACTTACAAAAACATGTATTGGGTTGGATTTTGCTCATGGACTGTTGTTTGCCAACCTGAGTTAAATGAGGCCTCAGTGGTTCAGAATTGTAGTTTTAACTTAAAAAAAAATCAACATGTTCCTTTAATTTCTTTGTTTACTAAGGTGTAGTTCACTGACTTTTCACTTAGAAATGGTAAAATTTTCTGTATCTGATTTAAAAGATTTTTCTGTTATCAAAGAGGTGATCTGCCTAATTTTTACCTGAAAAATACAGACTCATAGAATGTAAACCTTGAAAAGGACTTTGAAGATGAATGAATGAGTGCATGGGTGAGTGAATAAATAAGCAAATAAAAACTCTAAAGGTTAATATTTTTGAAATTAGGGTCTGTTTGAATGTTGTAAAATTTTGTGATTCAGTGATGATTAAAACTTTTTTGATAAGAAATCATTGCTTTCATAATTGTGTAAAAATGCTACTTGATTTCAGTGCCAGCATTTGTGTTGACTGTTGAGTTAGGACCAAGTAATAGTCTTATTATAGGCTAAAAGGTATAATAAAATGTACTGATACTTTTGTGATAAGTTGAGGTCAAATGATGTTATGATCTATTTTATAAATTAGAAAGGTTTGTAAATGGTAGATGAAAGAAAAGTGCCGTGAGAATTGTTTTGTGAAAATAATACAGTATCTTAAAGTTGTGTAAAAAAGGTACTATAGCATTAATATAATTTTCAACTGGCATCTAATGAATTACTTTGAGCAGAACAACATCATCCATCATTTTAAGCAAATATTAATTTTACTGATTTTATAAGCTTCTTTATGAATATAATTTACAAGCTTATGTTGGTTTTATATTTATAAAATAACTTTGAACATAATATATTTCTATTAGTTTCATTAGAATTAAAATAGTTTATGAGCCCTTAAATTTGATGAAAATAAATATATTTCCATTAGGAGCATTCCTTCCATGACTGAAGTTTGAGAAACACTGATCTAGCCTAGTCGGCTGCATTTTACCGATGATGAACCAAGACTCTTGAGTGACATAGTGAATGTGGATAGGGAAAGACAGTGTTTTCAACTTGCAGTATTTAAGTTATCCTGTATTCATTAATTTTTTTTTATTATGCCTAATAATTTTTTCAGTTTATAGATAGTTAGCCTCCCTACCAATGCTGATTTTGGTTGTTCTTAATAAGAATGCTGCTAAGAAAAAAACGTAATTTTTATTTTTGTGTTTCTTTAATACAGTTGTAAACAGAAAGTGCTACAATTTATAAATGCTTTAATTTATGTTTTAAAAAAAATTAAATATTTATAGTAAGCCTTAGGAGATATTTCTGTCTTACAGATGAAGGCTTGATGGTGGCAGAGGGAAACAGACTTTCCCAAGGTCACACTTTTAGTGACAGAACTGGGTTTTGAGTACTTCATTTTCCATTTTCCATTCTAATATTCAAGTGGAATATTAGCATACTAAAATAAATCTGAAATTTATATTATTAAAAGAATTCTTTCAAATTGTGATATATATTTGAACATATTCAAGCCTAATTTGAATATGTGATTTTTTTTTTTCCTCCTGTAAGCATTACATTTACTGTTAGAGTTTTTCCTGTAAGTTATATTTCAGACTATTTATTATGTACATTATATTTATTAATATGATGAGCATTGAATTCTTAAATTCTCTTAACCCATATGTTCTATTTCTGTAGTCGAAGGTCTTTGTTTAATGCACTGCATTGTTTGGTTTTTCTTTTAAATAGGTCCTGATTGTTCTTTGAATGTTCCTTCCACTGAGTCTTACTGGATTCTGCCAAATGTTAAACCCTTCAGTCCTTCCGTAGGTCGGGCTTCCCATAAAGCTGTTTTACATGGGAAGTTTATGTGGGTGATCGGTGGATATACTTTTAACTACAGTTCTTTTCAAATGGTCTTGAAGTAAGTTTTTTCCCCATATTTTTACAATCTATTTTTTAAGCTGGGTATTTTTGGATAATGAAGACTATCCTAAATGTCTTATTGCTATGCCGACTTATGAATGGTTGTCTTTGTAATAGTATCTGTTTTCCACATGGGACTGATACAAGAATATATAAACTCAGTATATCCAAAAGTTATTTGTCACTGTGCATATATGTTTGTTCTGTGTAGACATTTCATTAACTTTCTAGAGTGCTTTTATTAAATTCTGAATAAGAAAGTATTAACTTTAAATAAGGCCAGGCCAGGCCTATATTGGCCTTTGTGAATCCTGGTCACCTTTTGTTTTTTCAGAATGAAGTATAATTACTTATATAAAAATACTTTCAGTTTTTTCCTCAAATTTTAATTTACCTAAACTTTTACTCTGCATTTACTTTGCAAACTTTTATTGGTAGAGCAGTACCAGTGTTGTAAGATAGGTTATTGATTTACTGTGGACTCAATGAAGATTGTCCTTTGCATAATTGGATGATAAGGAGAGTTGCATGGATGCCAGCTTTATCTGATCTTTTTCATCTGGTGATTGTATTTTATAAACTATTCAATAACAATAAAAGAGGGAATAAGAATAATTTGATTATCAGTGTTGTTTTCAGGGGTCATATTCATAATATGTAACGACTGGTGCAACTTGGGCATCAAGCACTCGGAAATGTCCTTGGACAGTGTACCATATGGTGCATGCCCCAAAAGTGTTGCTATATTTAGCAGATAAATATACAGGACACCCAGTTAAATCTGAATTTCAGATCAACAGTGAATGATTTTTTAGTATGAATAGGACTTTTGTAATTTTATTTTTCAGTTTTATCTCGAGTGTTGCATGGATCATACTTATACTAAAAATTTGTGGTTTGTTTGAAATTAAGTTTTAACTGGGCATTCTGTATCTATAAACCCTAATTTGTGAATATATTAGCCCTATTAATTTGGGAGTTTAAAAAATTCTGTATTTAAGAGGAGATTGCTTTAAAACTATGATTGAGTATGACCGGAATCAAAGTGTAAAATAAATTCTGAAGAGAGGGAGGAAGAATTTTAAGTAAACATTTAATAAATGAAGGATAATAATATCCTTCAATATCCTGAAGCAATGAAAGATAAAATATAGTAGAAAGAACTGAAAGAGAATTGATAGGATTATTAAGATATGCAAAGAACTTGAGGAACTGAGATTTAAATGTGGAAAAGAAAAGGAAATTAACTATGATTCATGAAAATGAAAAGTTTGTGAAAATAGAGTCAATTTTGTATTAAATTGTGGTATTTGCAAAGTAGAGTTGTGAAGACAGTATAGTTGTCAAGGAAACTTGGAAATCTTAAAAGTTTGTGTTCAAGTTAAATAGCACATTTTAAATTGTGATGAATTTTGCTGATATTCTCCTAAATATATATTTTCTATTTGAACCAGATAGTTTATTATTTTTTTTGTCTGAAACCTGTTTTTTTTGGTTACAGTGTTTATTTAGTTTTGTAGTAAACTAGAGGTATAAGATTAGAAGTAACTTTGTTGCTGTTTTCACAGGTTAGAGAATGTTTTTTCATTATTCTGAAGGCGGTTTAGTTGTAGGTAAGGATGTTTAAAAAGCTTTTTAGAAGTGATGGTGTCAGTAATAAGTTGATTAATCTTCTATAATAGAATTTAATTGAGGTGTACATGTTACATTTAAGACAAATTATTCAGTAAATGATGTAAACGTTCTGTATTAGTGTCTATTAGAGAGTATTTTACAGGATATTTATTCATTGACATTAGTGAAAATTAACTTGTCATCATGGGCATAGCAAATTGTTTTGAACACATTATGTGCTTAGTACTTGGGATATGGAACATCTCAGGTGGCTCAGTGGTAAAGAAGCCATGTGCAGTGCAGGAGATGTGGGTTCGATCCCTGGGTCATGAAGATTGCCTAGAGAAGGAAATGGCAATCTACTCCAGTATTTTTGCCTGGGAAATCCCATGGACAGAGGAGCCTGATAGGCTATAATGCACAGGATTGCAAAATTGTCAGACATAACTTAGTGACTGAACAATAACAGCTTGGGATATATCAGTGGATATGATGAATGTCCTGTCTTTGTGAAGGTAGTGAGTAAAGATAGACAATTAGAAAAAAAAAATGTAAGTAACATGATAAGCAAGTATACAGGACTTCCCAAGTGGCTCAGTGGTAAAGAATCTGCCTGGCAAGCAGGAGACTCGGGTTTGATCCCTGGGTCAGGAAGATCCCCTGGAGAAGGGCATGGCAACTCACTCCAGTATTCTTGCCTGGGAAATCCCATGGACAGAGGAGCCTGGCAGGCTACAGTCCGTAGGGTTGCACAGAGTCGGACAGGACTTACCTGCTGAACAACAGCAACAAAGTGAATTATGTATATGCACATATATACACAGATAGATACAGATAGATAGCAAAATAGATAGCTGCTGCTGCTGCTGCTGAGTTGCTTGAGTTGTGTCTGACTCTCTGCGACCCCATAGACGGCAGCCCACCAGGCTCCGCCGTCCCTGGGATTCTCCAGGCAAGAACACTGGAGTGGGCTGCCATTTCTTTCTCCAGTGCATGAAAGTGAAGTCGCTCAGTTGTGTCCGACTCTTCGCGACCCCATGGACTGCAGCCCTCCAGGCTCCTCTGCCCATGGCATTTTCCAGGCAAGAGTACTGGAGTGGGTTGCCTTTGCCTTCTCCGAAAATAGGTAGCAGGGGTAAGAAATTAGGAATGCTGAAGAGGAGGGGGTTGCCGTTATAAACGCAGTGGTTAAGGTAGACTTCATGGGAAAGATGAGAACTGAGCAGATTTGAAGGAGGTCAGATGGTGGTGGTGCAGTTAATTGGAGGCAGAGAAAAGAGCCAGACAAAAGCCTTAAGGTAGATGCTGCTTGGAGATTTCAGGAGGCAACAAAGAGGCCCCTGTGACTTTAAAAGTGTAGAAGAGCTCACTATTGTTTAGGTTAATCAACTGGTTCAAATGATTAAGCTGAACAGAATAATTCCAGTAATAAATAGCCTAGTCACGTTAATGCATATTACATGTTTAGATGATTGAATCCTAATTTAGAGTAGGTATGTGTTGAATGAGTCTTTATTAAAAATTTCTAATATGGTATATGAAATTATGAGTTTATTTGTAATTGTTTTTGAATTTAATGAATATTTAAATATGAATAAAGCATATGGAAATTAAAAAACCTAAAATGAATCTTAGCTTATGAAGTTATATTTATTTTCTTCTTGTTTTTAGTTACAATTTAGAAAGCAGTATATGGAATGTAGGAGCTGTATCAAGGGGACCTCTCCAGAGATATGGGCATTCACTTGCTTTGTATCAGGTATGGATCCTGCTTTAAATTTTAATCTTTTTTTAAAAATTAGCCTTAGAGAAAAAAATACTAAATCTCAGATTTATTTCAAATACGTAATGAAAACAAGAGATCAGATGAATCACAATAACTTGAAGTGTCATAGATTTTTTTATACTATTTTAGTAAAAAAATAGATTTTAATGCTATCCTTCATTGAACATGGGGAGACAAGAAGATTGAGTTTTTGTCCATAACTTTTGTCCATGACTTTATACCTTGTCATCAGATCACTTAAAATTTTTTGATAAAATACACATAACAGAAGTTTATCATTTTAACCATTTTTAACAGTACAGTTCATCTAGTGGCATTAAGTACATTCAAATTGTTATACAGTCATTTCCATTATTTCCAGACTTTTTTTCATCTTGCAAAACTAAAGCTCTGTACCCACACAGTAACACCACATTTCCCCTCTTCCCCAGCCCCTGCAAACCACCCTTCTGCTTTCTGTCTCTGTGAGTTGGACTGTTCTAGGTACCTTATATAAATGGAATCATACAGTATTTAATGATTAATAAATGACTGGCTTATATAATGACCGGCTTATTTCACTTGGCACAATGTCCTCAAGATACATCTGTCATATAGCATGTGTCAGAATTACCTTCTTTTTTTTATTTTTTTTCCTTCTTTTTTTTAAAGGCTGAATAATATTTCCTGTATGTATATACTACAGTTTGTTTATCCATTCATCCATCAGTATATACTTGGGTTGCTTTCACCTTTCTGGCTAGTATCAATAGTGCTACTATGAACATGAGTATGCAACTATCTGCTCAAGTCCCTGATTTCTGTTCTTTTGGATAGATAGTCAGAAGGGAAATTCCTAGATTTAATGGTAATTCTATTTTTAATTTTTTTTTTAAGAACTGCCATATTGTTTTCCTCCATTGAACATGCTATCCTCCATTGAACACGGGGAGAAAATAAGATAGAGTTTTTGCCCATGACTTTATACCTTGTCATCAAATCAGTCACTTAAAAAATTTTGATAAAATACACATCACAAAAGTTTACCATTTTACCCATTTTTAACAGTACAGTCCATCTAGTGGCATTAAGTACATTCAACTTGTTATACAGTCATTTCCATTATTTCCAGACCTCTTTTCATCTTGCAAAACTGAAACTCTGACCATTTTCTATTCCTTCCAACAGCGCGCAAGGATTCCAATTCCTCCATATCCTTGTTAATACTTACTACTTTCTATTTTTCTTTCTTTCTTTCTTTTTAAAATAATGAAATTTCTAGCGCATGTAAAGCACTATCTCATTGTAGTTTTGATTTGTATTTTCCTAATGATTTATGATGTTGAACATCTTTTCAAGTGCTTATTGGCTATTTCTATGCTTTCTCTGAAGAAACATATTAAGTCTTTTGCCTGTTTTTAAGTTTTTTTTCTTTTTTTGATGTTGAGTTGTAGGAGTTCTTTATATATTCTGGATTTTATCTCCTAACTGGATATATGATTTGCATATATTTTCTGCCATCCTGTGGGCTGTCTTTTTACTTTGTTGATAGTGTCCTTTAATGGGCAGGTTATTAATTTTGAAATAGTCCTATTTCTCTGTTTTTTCTTTTCTTTCCTGTGCTTCTGGTATCATTTCCAATTTTGTATGAAGGTTCCAGTGTCTACACATCTTTGCCAACACTAGTTACTGTCTTTTTGATTATAGCCATCCTACTGGGTATGAAGTGGTATTTTATGTTTGATTTGCCTTTTGCTGTTGACTACAAATGTTAGTAGTCATGTTATTTTTTTGGGTATTTGTATTTTTTTTGAAGAAATGTCTGTTTAAGTTCTTTGCCCATTTTAAAATCATTGAGATGTCAGAGTTCTTTATATGTTCTAGATACAGATCCCTTATCAGGTACATGATTTGCAAATATTTCTTCCCGTTCTGTGAACTTTTACTTTCTTGGTGGTGTCTTTTGAAGCACAGAAGTTTTGAACTTTGATGAAATCCAATATATATACTTTTTCTTTGTTGCTTGTGATTTTTGTGTCATATCTAAGAATATGTTGTCAAATCCAAGGTCATGCATATTTAGCTTGTGTTTTCTGTAAATGTTTTATAGTTTTTTTGGCTTTTACTTTTAGGTCTTTGATCCATTTTGAGTTGTTTTGTATGTTCTGTGCAGTAAGGATTTAGAGTCAGTCTTCTGCATGTAACTATCTTCTTTTCTTAGCATCATTTATTGAGGGAACTAGTCTTTCCTCATCAAATGGGCTTGGTACTTTTGTCAAATATCAGTTAGCTGTAAGGATATGGATTTTTTTTCTGGACTCTCAGTTATGTTGATTTATTTGTTTATTTTTTTCCCAGTAGTTTGCTATCTTGATTACTTTTGCTTTGTAGAAAGTTTTAATGTTGAAAAGTGTTAATCCTCCAATTTTATTCTTCTTTTTCAAGGTTGTTTAAATATTCTGGATCTCTTGCAATTCTATATGAATTTTTGGAATCAACTTGTCAGTTTCTACAGATCTGGAATTTTAACTGAGATTGCATTGAATCTGTAGATCAGTTTGGAGAGTACTGCAATCTCAACAATATTGTCTTCTGATCCAGGAACACAGGATGTCTTTGTATTAATTTAGATCTTTCAAAAATTATTTGTAGCTTTCACAATATAAATTTGAAGTTTCTTTTGTTAAATTATTCCTAGTTATTTTATTCTTTTTGATGCTTTGTAAATTGAATTGTTTACTTAAGTTTCATTTTTGGATTGTTCACTGCAAGTGTATAGAGATATAAATTGATTTTTTGAAAATTAGTCTTTTATTCTGCAGTGTTGCTGAAGTCAGTAACTCTTACTTTTTTATTTCTTAGGATTCTCTATATACAAATTTCTATCACCTACAAATAGAAATATTTTACTCTTCTTTTCCAATCTGGATGCCTTTATTCAGTTTTTGCATATTTGCTCAGGCTGAAAGTCTTGAGTACAGTGTTGAATATAAGTGGCAAAAAGCAGGCATCTTTATAACTGACCATGGTGAAACATCCAGCCTTTTATCGTTAAATACAATATTAGCTTTGTGTTTTTCTTAGGTGCTCTTTATTAGGTTGAAGAAATTCTTTTCTCCTTCTAGGTTATTGAAATAGTAATGATTTATATATCATACATTTCAATCACGTATGATTTAATCACATATGATTTTTATGATTTATAACTGCTCTCAAGTATCTACTCATAGCCATGAGAAGTGGTAATAAAAATGTACTCCACATAATATACACAAATGTGTCTACTTTTCTGGTGAACAATGCTTGATGGAAACAGTGAATGAGACTAGCACAAGGCGGTACAAATAGATGGTAAAATTTAGATGTAACAACTAGGGACTTAACAACTAGGATGGTTAATTAGCCATATAATATGTATTAAAACACCTTAAAGTAACTTTTGAAAGTGTGGCTTTCCCCCCTTCTCGTAATTAAAAGAATTAATCATCATTGCTCATGTGTTCCCATTTGACTTTTTACACATAAGAACTATGTCTTATGCATGTTGTGAGCAATTACTAAAATTTAATGTTTAAACATAGTCTTTAATTCATGTATCTTGATAAGATATAAATATGTTGTATATTAACATATGTTTTTTAATTTACAGGAAAACATCTTTATGTATGGAGGCAGAATTGAAACAAGTGATGGCAATGTCACAGATGAATTGTGGGTGTTTAACATACACAGTCAGTCGTGGAGTACAAAATCTCCCACTGTGCTTGGACACGGTCAGCAGTATGCTGTGGAGGGACATTCTGCACACATTATGGAGTTGGATAGTAGAGATGTTGTCATGATCATAATATTTGGATATTCTGCAATATATGGTTATACAAGCAGCATTCAGGAATACCATATCTGTGAGTTACTTTGAACATATAGCTATACTCTTTTTTTTAATTGGTTGAGAATATTTTTATCTTTAATAGATAATTTGAATTATCTATTATTCAATAGATATATAAATATCTATTATATATTATTATCTATTCAAATAATATTAATTTGAATTTATCAAAATGATTAGTTATTTGAAATTAGAATTAAAAGCCAAGAATTAGGATTTTTTAATATAAACTTTTAAATTTTGTGTTAATATTGCACTATAATATTTATTTTCTTAGCTAAATGTGTGGATATGTTACATTATAGACACATTTCCTAAGGATTGAGAATGTGTATTTTTAAATATGAGAAGTTCCAATAGATGGTGCTATTTCTTTGAATTTTACTTATGAATTGAGAGCTAAAATTAACCCAGTTATCTTTACTATGCATTCCATGACTTCAGGATTTTTCATTTTTCAGGGTTTTGCTCCTAATCTTATTGCAGTATCTCTGTGTATGTATTACTTTTCTAAAGTAAGCTTCCCAAGGATCGTCTTTTGGCTTCTATGAAAGATGATATCTGGTGTGTGAAGGTGACTGGGACAATCATATATGACTTTCTCTACTATGCTCTTAAATATTCTAATTTATTTTCCTGGTACTTTCTTTCTTTCTTTGAATTCTTTATGACATTTTCAAACAGATGTAAGCTTCCCCCCCGCCCCCCCATAATTTGTCTACAAATATGTATATACTGTGGTTGCTATTTAGATTCAAGATCATACTCCATTTCTAGTTCTGGCCAGAATTATGAACTCAAGTTTCTGGCCCTTTTGGGTGTAGATAACTGTGTTCAATTATTTAGAGTCCTTGTGCAGTCTCAGTGAGAAGACTCATTTGCAGATCACTGTTAGCAGCAACAGGAGAGAGCTTGTGTGTGCAGGAAAGGACTCCCTCCTGAATACTCCACTGTTTCCCCTGCAGTCCTTTTTAGTGATTCCTTCTTTTTCATCTCAAAGTACAGCTGGGCTAGAATTGATATATATATCCTCTTTACCTCTTACTGCCATTTCCTGTTTCTACTCCATCCTCCCTGAAATCACTCAGCTTTGAATCTTAGGTCATCAGACTGTACCACCTGTTACTTCTTCTTCCACTCCTCTGTGTTCCTTTGGTCACTGTGCGTAACTCCTGGAAGAATATAGCTTCTGGCTCACTGTCTGGGTCCCATATATGTTAGTCAGGTATATTAACATCCCATTAAATACTTCTGGCCTCTCAACTTTTTTGATCTCTCTTCCAAAGATCTTGTCTCCATCCTGTGGTACCCTTGACTTTGTGTACCTGCCGTGAATCCCGTAATTTCCGCTTCAGATACCTTACTCTTCAAGTGCTACTGATGTTTCCAGCTTACTTCCAAAGAGGATCCAGACTGGTCGTTCTTCACCCTTACCTCCATAGTCCATTGAGCGTCCTGTCAAGTTTTCAGTCTCCACCGCCCCCCCCCTTTGTACTTCTCACTTACTAAGTTTTAAGTTCATAATCCCCACTCTCTCTACAGTTCTGTTTCATACATTTTCCTCTCCCTTAAAACTTCCAGCAGTTCACTCCTCATCATTACTCTCAGTTGACTTTATTTTACTGAGAAAATAGAGGAACTCTAAAGAGACTTCTGGTGAGAGGAACATTTTGGATGTAATCGTTAATAAGAAATGCTACATTAAAAAAGCCTGTGTACATGCCTTATTGTCAGAAACACTCATGCCTGCGATGAAGCAGATGTGGGTGAGTCATGCTCATTTTTCACATGGGCCCCAGAGTTGTTTAAGCAAGAGTTACAGATTTTCTATGTAAAAAAAGTTGTTTTTTAAATTTTGTTTCGAATTTTTGGTTTTTTTATAGTGTTCAGGGAATATTATGGGTATTATTTCTCCTTTTTGTAATTTATTCACATTTTCTTTGGAATCCAGTTTTCCTAATTGTTCCACAGATAGTTGAAAAGGAGGTAAATCCTATTATATCAAGATATAGCATCGGTTGTCTTTGTTGTTCAGTCACTCAGTTGTTTTCGACTTTTTGCAGCCCCATGGGCTGCAGCACACCAGGCTTCCTTGTCTTTCATTATCTCCCAGAATTTTGGTCAGATTCACGTCCATTGAGTGAATGAGGCCGTCCAACCATCTCATCCTCTGTCGTCCCCTTCTCCTCCTGCCTTCAATCTTTCCCAGCTTCAGGGTCTTTTCTAATGAATCGGCTATTTGCATCAGGTAGTCAGAGTTTTAGAACTTCAGCCTCAGCATAAGTCCTTCCAATGAATATTCGGGATTGACTTCCTTTAGGATTAACTGGTTTGTTCTCCTTGCAGTCCAAGGGACTCTCAAGAGGATTCCCCAGCTCCACAGTTCAAATCATCAGTTCTTGGTGCTCAGCCTTCTTGATGGCCCAACTCTCACATCTGTACATGACTACTGGAAAAACCATAGCTTTGACTATACGGACCTTTGCTGGCAAAGTTATGTCTGCTTTCGAATATGCTGTCTAGGTTTGTCAGAACTTTTCTTCCAAGGAGCAAGCATCTTTTAATTTTGTGGCTGCAGTCATCATTCACAGTGATTTTGGAGCCCAAGAAAATAAAGTCTGTCTAAAATCTACTTTACTGCTCCTGGTTAGGTCTTCTCTTCCTTACTTATGATTTTTTATATTAACTTGATCTATCATGCTCTGAAAGTTAATAAAAGTATAAAAATACTAGTTTATTTTTGCTTTTATCTTCTTATATATTCTTGAATTTATGCTTTGTAGAATTTGCTATCATGGATATTCATAACTACTAAATCTTTATTGCGAATTGTGTCTTTTAATAGTATAAGGTGCTTTGTTTATTGTTTTCTGATCTGATTTCTACCTTGTCTGTTATTAATATTATGGCTCTTGAATTTTGGGGGATGGCAAGTTGGTCTTTTCTTGGTGTATTTTTGCCCATTTCTTTATTGTTAACCATTCAGAATCACTTTGTTTTAAATGTATCTCTTGTATACAAGAGAAAGTTGGATTTTGTCTTGTGATCCCATCTGGTTTTTGTACATTTTCTGTGTTTCGTTGTCTTTTTTTTTATAACTAAAGAACATTTATTTGTTTTTCACCAAGACTTTTATCTTGAGGATGTAACTAAACTGCACCTCCAGTCCCCACCCCAATTTGAAGGAGGATTAGTACAGTGGATGTTATAAAGCAGGTATGAACAGTTTGAGGGACTGGAACCAATGTTAACTGACAAAAACCAGCTTCCATCTAAATCATCATAAAAATGTTTAAGTAAAAAGAAAGGGGGGAGGGAGGGGGCCAAAGGGGTTTTCAGATTGAACAAGATCATCACATTTTATCTAATACATTCAATTCTGGCTAGGGTATACCAAAATGGAAACAGGATAACTATAATACAAAACTTCCACTACAGCACACTGCACACATCTGTGTTCCAAGCCCACCCCCATTCCCCTAATGCTTCCAAACTCAACTATTTCCCAGCCTATTGGGCCTGTCGACGAAGGAGCACGTAGATCTCTTTAATCCAGTCTTTGTTATAAGGCTGGTATGTCTGGGTATCAGCTTGGTAAACAAGGCAGCTGAGGTCTGCCAGGTCATCGATAAAATCAAACAACTGACTGATATCATCTGTGATGGAGGGCTGTTGGGACTCATTCTCTTCAGATGGTCTTCATACCTGTTACAAACACCTTCCATACACTCATTCACAGATTCACAGTCAGCGTAAGTTCTGCCTTCTGGCCTCTTGGTAGGCTGTACCAGCAAGATGGTGTGAGACATCGCGCCAAAGTCTTCCGCTGCAGCCGAAGCTGACTCCGCCACCGCACACGAGCTTATCTGCAACCTGTTGTCTTTTTTTTTATTATAGCTCTTCTCATGTTGAGGGAGAGTGGGCCCATTTTTTGTGGGAATGAGAGGGGTAATTTTTGAGATCTGCCATTAGGTTTCTCCCATGTTCCTGTCTTCCTTTCTGCGTTCTTGCAGGTTTCTCTGTCTGGTTCTCTTAGTTTCATTGGCTTTTTGCACATTCACATCTGATTTGGAGTTGTTGAGTTTATTTTCATTCCCAGTTTCTCTGGTAATTTAATTTTCTTTTCTTTCACTTCCCCCACTTCATGTTTTCCTTATTTTGTATCTCTTGGGGAGAACAGGAAGATTCAGGATTAAACCATCGTCATGCTTTTGAATTTGAACCATAATGTGATGACTTTTGAAGTTTTAAGATGAATACTTAATTAAGTTGACTGTTAATCAGAACTTTTACTCTTTGGTCAACTTCCAATTTACAGGCTACTGTTTTCTACTAATTTAATTAATTTTGTTTTGTTTTGAACACATTTGACATTATTATAAGTATTTAATGCAAGGGGTCACAATCTTTTCCATAAAGGGACAGATAGTAACTATTTTAGGCTTTGTGGCCCATATGGTCTTTGTCAAAACCAATCAACTCTGCTGTTATAACATGAAAGGAGCCGTAGACATCAACAGATGGGCGAGGCTTTGTTCTAGACTTAGCCTTGGGTCTTAGCCTGCCTACCCCAGCTCTAGAGAGAGAGTGTGTGGACTTCTAGGCCTAGCAACCCAGGTCCAAAGTAAGTTAAAGTTTTGGCCCGTGGGTTTTTTTTTTCCTTGAGTTTGTTTGCAGGATGAATTTATGCCCCAAAGTGACACGATGTCTAGTCTTTAACCAAACTAGTTTTTTCTTCTGTGTAGAGCCTAAACTGAAATAGAATATTTTTCTGTTTGCCTCTGCAGAAAAGATTTTAAAACCTCACCTTTCATTAATAGTTAAAACCCTTTATGGATCCTAACTTTATATAGAAGTTCTGTGATGCAATAACTGCATGTGTTTACCTGTGTGTCTGTTAGTCGCTCAGTCGTGTCTGACTCTTTGCGACCCCATGGACTGTAGCCCACCAGGCTCCTCTGTCCATGGGGTTCTCTAGGCAAGAATACCGGAGTGGGTTGCCATTCCTTCTCCAGGGTGAGTTTACC